ATTTGAAATATTATATATAGTATATACTGTATTGTACTATGAATAGTTTATGTAGTCCATAGTATTCATTATTGATTATATTTGTTTGATAGTTGAACCAGTGTATCTATAATATATGCTTTCTTTTTTCATAATTTGCATTAACTTATGTTTTTTATAATCATATTGAATCACATATCACAAAGAAATATATTATTTACTTTTGTATAGTGTTGTGTTTTGATCAGACATATGTTGTTGTTTACTTTGATCAGACATGTGTTATTGTTTACTTTTGTATAATGTAGTATTTTAATTAAATGTATGTTATTGTTTATTTTGATTGGATATATATTATTATTTACTTTTAATTCCAGCTGATTAGTATTGTTTACCAAAACAGTTTAGTTAAAACACATAAAATTGAGAAGTTAATTATGTTCTGATTAGATTATCTATTTGACATATAAACAAGTTGTTATATTCTTAAATAACATATTCATGTTTTGCATGATATAATAATTATTATGTATTATTGTTGTGATGTTTTGAGGCTTTTTATTGTTTAATAAAAGAAATCTAAATGTTTTTTTAGATATTATGAATCTTGAGTCTGAACTGATTTATTGGTTTGACCTATTGTTTACAGGAGTTCTCTTGATATCAAAAAAGATGTTAACCTGTATTGACCTGGCTAAAAGCTTGAGGAGTTAAGATTGAATCTCAAAGAGCTTACTATAAATCAGTTTTCTTGAATTTTTCTTTTCTCTATAAAGAAAAAAAATCTATAAAGTATAGTTGAAGTGTGTTTGTACTTTTCTACTTCTTGTTACTAGAAGATTAGATATACCAAGAACTGATCCTGTATAGTTGTTTCTTATTGTTTTACTGATTTTGTTAAAAGATTCTTTTTGTATTATGACTGGCTTCTTTTGTTTTTCAAGAAATTTATCAAAAAAGAAAATTTTTAAAAAAATTGAAAATTAATGAAAAGAGTTTTTTTTAATTTTTTTAAAAATTATGAAAAATAAAAAAAATATTAAAAGATATAATATACTGTATATTAATTTATAATTTTTGATTGTATAATTAAGAATTTAAAAGACCTATGAGTTGATAGTGCAGTGGTTAGCATTTTACAGGTTAGATTACAAGATCTGGATTCAATTCCACCCAAATACAAGACTTTTATAAAGAATTGAATCCATCCATTGCTGTAATTATAAACCAACTAATGTTTCTAAATATAGCCAGTCTATATCTAGATTGTTATCAAGTTGTAATTTGAATTGAATAGAATTATCACTGACACAACTGTATTACTAGAAATAATAGCAAGAAGAGTAGATCCCCAAACTAGTAACATGCCTCTTATAATTAAAACAAGAACACAACTCATCCAGTGATACAAATGACTTAATACAAACTTATACATAAGAAAAAGGACTCTTTTATAATAAGCCAATCTAGGTCCTTATGCATGTGACTATGTTGGCTTTTACAGACTTGACTATTAAAAGACCTTGGTGGAAGAAGAAATCCACAGATTACTTCAAAAGATCAAAAACTGAAATTCAAAATATTGAATTCAATGGCCTGATAACTAGAATATTTTTAATAAAAATTATTCTAGGAATAATTAAGATAAAATCATATGGCCTTCCAGCTTAGGTCGTTGGGTTGGTAGTGGTAATACATAGCATTAGTTTATAACTATCTATATAGATAAGATTTACTATAATATATATGTATAATTACTTATTCATAATAATATAATAGTTTTTATTAATAAAAATTACAAATTAAGGCCATGGATCCAGACTCACCAATACAGTAATACAAGCTATTAAAAGCTTCAAGGCTGATTCAGAGACCAAACAGACCCAAATTGATTTTAAAAAACACTTAAAGGACAAATTCAGAAAACAGTATATAGAATTGACAAATATTATAATAGAAAAAACTCTAAACAATAACTATTTTTCCTTTTTTTTTCTTTTCTATCAATATTTGTAATAGTGAAGTCTTGATATACTAGTGTCTATTAAGGTAAATTACAGCAAGTTACAGGGTTTCTAGAAATAGAATACTGAGTTATAGTGTTTTTTTCCTTTATAAATATATAGACTCGCAATTAAATTTATATACATAAGCCTGTATTAATGAATACAGTAAATAAAAATTCAATAACAGGAAATTGTCAGTTAAAAAAAAAAAATTAAGAATTTAAAAATTAACAAAGTTAAAATTTATAATAAAAATATAAAAAGTAGATTTAAACTTTTGAAAGCAATTGTATTTGTTATAAAAAAACAAGATAATTGAAAGAAATAAAATGTAAAAATTATAAAAAACTATTATAATAAATTGTATAAAAATATAAAAAAATATAATAATTTTAAAATATAATGTTATAGAAAAACTTTATAAAAATATATTTAATAAAAATTTAGAAAATCAAATTTAATAAATTAAAAAAAATAATTATAAGATTAAATTTATAAAAAAAATAAAATATTAATCAAATATTTAGAAAATAATTAATAATTATTTTATATTTTTATAAAATTAATTATATAATTAGAAATATAAATTATTTAAAAAATATTTTAATAAAAAAATAAGTAATAAACTATATTACTAAAAAAATATCAAAACAAGAATTTGAAAAATTACTGTATATAAATGGAATAAAAATATAATTAATTATTGTTTAATTAAATAAAAAATAATAAAAAAATATAATATTTAATTTTAGATAAAAGAATTAAACCATAATAATATGTAAATAAAACTTTTATATTATAAAAAAATAAATATTATCAAACAAAACAATGAAACTGTTTAAAAAATTAAAAACAATATAAAAAAATATAATTAATTATTATAAATCTAATAAAAATATAATAAAACTGTAATTTATCTAAAAAGAATATTTAAAAACCAATATAATATTATAGAAAACTTTTTAAAAATATATATATATATATATTATAATAAAATAAAAAATAAATTTGAAATAAAATAATAATAATAATATATAAAAATTATAGAATTTTATAAAAAATTATTTTTATTTAAGAATATTCAAAGAATTTTAAAAAAAAATAACATACTGTATTTATAATAGAAACTTAAATAATTAAAAAGGTATTAATATAAAATTTATAAAAAAAAAAAGATTAAAATTCAAAATAAACAATTATAATATATAATTTTATTGAATTTTCATATTTATACTTTAAGTATCTATAAAATATAAACATAAATTAGATAAAAATTAATATACAGTAAAGGATAAAAAAATTTATCTTTTTTTCAAATATATTTAATTTAATAAAAAATTATTTAAATTAAATCAAACTTAAAATATAAATACTTAAATACTTAAAAATTAATTTTATTTAAGATTAATTTATAATTTTTATTGGTATTATTATTTTATATTTTTATTTTAATTAAAAAAGTTTATATTATACACAAATTTTACAAAATAATATATATAAATTTAACTTTTTAAATATAGTTTTATATATAATTTGTTATAAATAATATATAACTTATAATATTTATACAACTTTATATTTAAAATTTTAAAAAAAAAATTAAAATAATATCATCAAATAAATATAAATTATTTTAATTAAAATTATTTTATAAAGCTAAAATATTTATATTAATGTTTTTTTATATTTTTTAAATAAATAAATTCTAAATTATAATAAAAATTTTAATTTTTTAAAAAATTTAGACCAAATTTTTTTGATCCCTGCTGTATTTAAAAAAACTCTTATTTTAAACTCGATTATATAACAATCAAGTATTTCTTATATAATTGTCATAGTCAATAATAAAATAAATAAATAAGCAAGTGAATTCAAGGTCTAGTGGATGTTGAATCAACAGATATATCAAAGTTAATATCACTTACTAAAGATTTGATTGATAAATCTGAAAAATTTATATTTTTATTTAAATATCGAAATTTTTTATGCAAATAATTTGAGCTTTCAAAAATGTTATTTAAAAATTACAATTTTAGAAAATCAGATTAAAAATATAAATCATAATAAATAATAGCAGTGAACCAAAACTTTTAGAAGCAATTATATATATAATTTTTTTTAATAAAGATACACTTTTTTAAATAATAATCCTATTACATATCTTAAATATTTTTTTATTATTTTTGAATTTACTGCATATTTGAGATTATATATAACATTTTAAGCTATTTAAATAAAATAACAATTGGAAAAAAAAATAATTTTTTTTTATCGAAAAATTATTTTTAAAATGCATAATTACAGTACCTTCTTTCGTAGGAACCTTGTAACTTTGGCAAAGTGTTCTAAAAATGGCAAGAGGCAGTAAATAAGTAGAAAAATTTCACACCATATGCAAAACGGTTCGATCAACAATTGATTGACCGTATATCGTATTCAAGGCGTTACAATTTAAAGTAAAATCAAGTTTCAAGGCAAGAATTATGTTTGCAATCGTGAAATAATGACACATGATTGCTTTTGTTTCCTAAAAAAATAAAGTATGACTTTATTTCCTAAATAAATAAAGTTCGGTTTTGTTTCCTAAATGAGAATATAGCATCAGTCAAAATACAATATCTCGCTTTACTAGCCGTTAAGAAACTGCATACATCAAAATGCGATCAGAGCACTTTGCTAACCTATCACAAAATTTCTCTGAACTCCTCGAAGACTCAGACGATTACAATGTTAATATCAAAGTTGGAAAAGATGAAAATGCTCAAGACTTTCACGTACATTCATCAATTCTAAGAACACGTTCATCTTATTTCAAAAGGGCTCTTTCAGAACAGTGGACCGTGACCAAGAGAGATGGAATTATTTATTTTAACAAACCAAACATTTCTCCAGCCGTTTTTACGATAATACTTAAGTATGACGGGTTATCTTTTATTATTGCACGTTAAAGGTTGAGTAAAGTGTATTAATGTAAACATTACAATTAGGTATATTTATTCGGGGATTATCGATTTAATGGGTGTTTCTAGCTTTGATATCCTTGGCCTTCTGGCTGCATCAGGCGAATTACTCCTGGAGGAGTTAACAAACAATGTTCAAACTCACTTTCTCGAGCATGGAAATTCTTGGATTAAAGAAAATTTCATTACAGTCTTACACGCCGTTTTTCGACTTGCCAGTTGCAGAGAACTTAAAGATTACTGTCTAGAATCCATTTGCAGTGATCCAAGTCCTCTCTTTGACTCCGAAAGTTTTCCTTCTCTCGATAAGGATATTTTCCTGGAATTGATTAAACGTGAAGGATTGAAAATTGAAGAAGTAAATATCTGGGAATATCTTATTAAATGGGGAATTTGCCGATTGTCCGGAATCGAAGAGAAGAAACCTTCAAATGTGAAAGAATTTTCAGAAAGAAATATCAAGGATCTAAAAAAAATAATTGATCCTTTTATTCCGTATATTCGATTCTATGAGATTTCTCGGAAAGATTTCCATGATAAGGTTTGGCCATTTCAAAAGGTTTTGCCAGAATCTCTCTTTGAAGATGTAATATCATTCTTAATGACCGCCACCGAGCCGAGACGGAAGATACTTCCTCCACGAATAAAGTCTATCATTGATGACTCCAAAATTTTAACAAGAGAACATCTGGAAATTATTACCAACTGGATTGAAAAAAAGGATATTATTGATAAGGAGAAAAGAAGATATCACTTCACTCTCCTTTACCGCGGAACTCGCGACGGGTTTGATGCTAAGTCGTTTCATCAAAATGTCGATGGACAGGGTCCAGCGATTGCAGTCATCAAAATAAAAAATTCTGGAAAAATAGTTGGTGGATTTAATACGAGCGGATGGAATGGAAACGTTTGTAACCATGATTCTTATTTGTGGTCGTGGCCTAGTTATAACTACTGGAGAAGAGTATCGATAATTTCATATTTTCCATGGGTAGTCAAAATAACCATATTACCAGTAAGATCGACCGATTAAAGGGTAAATGCAGTGTATATGATAAGGATGACATCATGATACGATTTGGAAATTATGGTTTAATACTCGATAGTGGTCGGAATGGAACATGTCACAAATCTATATTAGACACCAATAGTTTTCCTGCCGAAGAAGTGGAATTATTCAGTGTGATCGAGAAAGATAGTGGTCAGTGATATTATAGGGAATTTTTACTTGCAAAGTTCGATTCAATGAAATATACAAAAGAAATTTGATTATTAAATTATCGATTTTATTAATAAAATAAGTTGACAAATACGTAAAAAAAATACTGTATTAGTTACTGTGCCATATATAAATTATAATTTAGTATTGTTTTTATTTATTTACTTGTTTATTTGGTTTCTAGCACTTTTTAAATTATTTTGCTAGTAATTTAAATATTGGTTTCTAGCACTTTTTAAATAAGTTTTGAATCAAGAAAATTATGCGCTTTACATAATCCGTGTTCGCCTAATTTTAAATGGATATTTCTTTTGAAATAAGCGTATTATAATTTTAATGAGGAATTTTTCATGACTAATTGAAAAATATTATACCGATTTACGTATAAAAAATAAAGTTTTTTTTTTTTTTTTTTTAATAATGTATACACAGTGAAACTGGATTTAAGTGAAGTAGCCCGGCTCAGCTTTCTTTTTTTCGTTATATCCGGGTTTCAAACTTCGTTATATCCAGGTTCACTGTGTACCATTAAATTTTAACTCAAATAAATTTATCAATTGTAACTCAGGACTTGGTATAAATAAAATTTTTTTATAATAATGTTGATCACTCGACAATTCGACTCTAACCTACTGTATCTACGATATAATATACAGTATTATACGTAAATTGGCAATCTATATTATTTATTATTGTCTCTTTCCAGCATTAACTTAATATATTCTAAGCTGGTTTCCACTACGGGGAATTATACGTTTGAAAAATTTTTCGCATAAGGAAAAACTCTCAAGTGTCGACGCAATTTGATTGGGTAGATTATTTCGGGAATGTTAGATCTATCGACAATATTAGTCGTTTAAAAAAATAAAAATAATAATAAAATCTTATCATGCTCCTCTAATGGTGGCTTGTCAATCGCATAGAACATAATTTAAGAAATCCAGGAAAAAAAAATTAGAAATAAATTACATCCAAAGAAATATGTTGATATTGAAAACAGACCAAACGAAACCATATACCGAATATTAAAAATCAAGAGGATTGAAAAATGTAACCTGTGACACCATAGGAAAAATTACATTTGGAGAAGGCTCAGAAAAGTTAAAAGAGGAAATTAACAATTCATTGGACAGATTGCCAGATGGAAATTCCGGAAGAACGCATGGAAGAGTAAAAGGGACGGGAGGATTGGATGTAAAATTAGGAGACGGAGTATGTATATAATATCCGGAATCTAAATTGGAAGGACCCCGGAAAGTTTCATCGATCCTTTTATCTCTGTCCCTAAGGAGGAAAATTTTACAATGAGCAAATAAAGATAACAAATAGAGGAAAAAGAAAATTTAAAAAATTGGTTTACCTTTGGGACGTCTGTTTAGAAAAAACAGAGTCCGTGGAAGGACAGTCGCCATTAATATCCCAAGCGGGTGGATCTAACCCATGATTTTTGCAAAAATTTTCGAGCTGTTTGACCCGTTCTGTCAAGTTTCTATTGATGGATGCCTTTTTTTCTCGTTTTTCTTTTAGTTTCTTTTTATTTTTTTCGTAATAAACTCGATTATTTATGGACTTTGAATTGGATGTTTTATTAACGGAAAGTTTTTTACTAGTGGAATTGGGAGACATCGGGGCGAAACAAATTGCAAGTAATCATGGTGGAGAGTAGACTTTTAAATATAAAATTATTCTGAATTAAGAAGCATAAAAAAAGAAAATTAATAGGATAAGTACTGAATTCAGTACCCAAAGTTCTCGCTGCTAGGACTAATCGGCATACTGAATTCAGTACTTAAAGTTCTCGTTCCTTGGACTAATCGGCATACTGAATTCAGTGCTATAAAAGATGGTATCCTGTTACACAGATGCACATTTTTCTTGATCGTGCACGTATCCTTATGGGAGAAGCAAAGTTTCGTCAACGAGAATGGGTGAGACCGGGAGATTGTCTTTGATTCAACGAGGATCGGGAGGGACAAAACCATTATCTTTAATAAACGTTTCAAGTTGCATAATGCGAGTACGGAGTAAACGGCGGCGAGCCAGGATTTCATTCTTGCGATGACGATAATGTGTTTGATTTTTCTTAAATCGAAAAGAAGCTTTACGATCGGTTGTATGAGGTTTTGGATCTTCACAGAAAGTTAGATTATTTATCCTTCCCATCATTTGCAGAATAAACGCGTTATTTCTAGCATAGAAAAACGTCGCGCCTTTTTATACGGTTTTTAAATACATACTAACACATCGTAGTTGGATTCTGAATTATGTACTTCCTTGTTAAAGGTTCTGAATTCAGGTCATTAAAAATGGTGCTAATGATCATTTTTGTTCTGAATTCAGAATCATAATTATGGCGATCTTACTAAAAATCGTGGTCATTTGTGCTAATTTCCTGTGCATTACTGGGATCACCAAGTTCATTCTTCTTACATCAAATTCAGATTTTTTCATTCGAGACTGTGCTTTGTACGCTCTAACCAATTTTAATCGTTTTATTTTACTATTCATAGTGGAATGTAAGGCTTGGCTGTGTTTTTCTTTAAATTCTCATTGAAATACGTGTGAATTCTACAAGAAATTTCGATAGTAACACGTTATTTTTTTTTTATTGATAAATTATTGGTGCGATCCCTTTCACCTGACACTTCGGGTGATTTTTTTTTGCAGAAGATACGTTTTCATTTTAGTATATAAAATATTTATCTTGACTTATTTTTCACATACAGAAAAAAAAGGTCATTATAAGATACGTTATTTTTAGGCTATAAACTTCGCGTGTATCAAATTCGTCTGTATATTATTAACATAATATAAACAAATTACCATATCAATTATTAATAGTTCTTTTCCTTAAATGATTGCCTCGATTTTTTTTTTCATCTTAGAAGAGTGGTAATTACGTAATGTCATCTCGGAAGCCACGATGGATTTTTATTAGCAAAAAAAAAAAAACAAAACAAATATTATTATTATTTTTATGTGACGCAAAATTTCGATTTTAATTATCTTCACAAAAGGTATGTTGGCCAATGTTTATCGATATACAACAATCCCCTCAGAAAGTGTTATGCTTTATGCGTACAATTTTTTCAACGAGATTGCATTTGGTGATAAAAAATTGATTACCATAAATATTTGCGTGGTACGTGAACGCCATTTACTGTGATCGAAACTAACTCCGACAACAAACTTTCATAATGCAGTACAGCTAAAGCCACCGACCGCATTACAAATTTTTCGAAGACACAATGACACTTGCGTGTGTATTAAAGTGCCGATTTTGTGATTTATTAAATCAGACGCTCTAAATTGGGTAATTGGTTTGAAAATAATAAACATGTCATACATACACCTGAAACCACGTATTATTGTTACATCGATTTTCTGATAATCTAATTGCTAAATAACGTACTACAATATATAAGCTTGAATAGTATTTATAAAAGTATAAAAGATTTCATATATAGGATTTTTTAATTATAAATATATCAATTTTATTATTATTATGTTATAAATTAAAAATTTTATTACAAATAAAATGACAAGTCGATCTGTTTATTTATTTTTTTTTATAAATTCTTTGTCAGGTTAGTTATATGTGCTTTATTAAACATTAATAAACTATATATACAGTATATTTATGTATCATTAAAGTTGATTCTTTAACTAATTCACTTATCTTTGTCATCTTAACTCTAGGTATAATATTGAAAGTAATTTTTTGTTCCATTAGTAGTTCAAATAAACATTTTTTTAACTACTAATATTATTATTTTATAATTGATTTGTAATAGTAATAATAATAAATAAATAAAATAAGTCATAATGTATATAATATATTACATAATAAAAACTCTTTCTGCTAATCCTCTAATCACATACAAAAAAGATGTTCACAAGAAGTTTTTATACTTCCTTGCTAATAAAGTCTTAATACTTTTCTTAAAACAACTTG